GAGAGAGAGAGAGAATGTGTTAGTGGTTGAGCAGCCAGGGGGAAAAGGGGACAACTTGCAGACATGATGGAGAGCAGCCTTCTATGAATGTATCTAAAAAACACACAAAAAAGCTCATGGCCTGTAGCAAACAAATTTTTTTTTGCAAATTCACAAATCAATGTTGTCTTAACTTCGCAATTGCCCAAGGCCATTATTTGTCAATTTCAAGACAATCATAGGAGCTGCCACCTGAAAAATAATGTTGATTGAGTGAGAAGTCTAGTTTGTGACACACAAAATCAGTCTCCACTCTCTCTGTCTTCTCACTAGTTCACTGAAGACCTGGAAGAGCCACTTTTCATTTAAAAAATCCCCTTAACTGTCCCCTCGTGGAAACGTGGAACATAAAACGTGGCCTGGATGTCTTGTCAGGAGAAGTTGGTTCTAATCTCACCCAGTCACTAAATCCCCCCTAAATGTGGGATTTGGACAAGCCTCCCAACCTTTCTTGGTCCTCGATTTCCTCATCTGTTAAAATTGTATAGATTTGTAGTAGTTTTTAATTTGTGCTTCAAAGGTGTTCCATAGATGTTTGATTTGATCTTTTTCAAAATATATTTTTAATTTCTTTTAAGAATTATAACAAAAAAAAACCCCACTCAAATACGTTGTTTATCAAATTTTAACATACTGAAACCCTCAATGTGTTAGTTTTAGCCCACTTCAAAGTTGATTCTGCCATCTCTTTTTAACTTAAAAATAAGGAGATTGTCAGTGTGAACTACTGAAAAAAAAAATCTGTTACACATTTGCCATAACTTATCTCTGTGAATGGGAATTTCTCAATAATATGCAATTAAACAAAATTTAAAAACAAACTGGATAAGTATTATATAAGAATAGGTTTAGTGTTCTCATTGATTGTTAATTAAAGGGTTGCAATTTATACTAAAATTGAACAAATTAAATATCATAATCCAGTGTGTATCCTGTAATAAGTGCTCAATCGCTGTCAGCAAGTTCTCCATTGGATGTATTTGGTTCCCTGTAAGATTTTGTTTTTCAAAAAAGGTGTTTTGCAACATTACCTCTGAGAACACTTCAGACATGAAATTCTATATCAATTACATTTTTACATGTAAAACAAAATATATTTGTGTCTCCCCAAAACATAATAGCATATACTAATGACCATTAGTGGTTTTAATAGAAGGTAGGGGATTAAAATAATTAATTAAAATGAGTAAATAACAACCATTATAAAAGAAGGGTAAGCAGTATCCTAATTAATGAATTTGCTAATTATCACCCCCTCACACACACACACCCACACCCACCCCACACCCTGTTTGGCTGCTGTTTGGTTGTCACCTGAACCACATTCTTGCATATTTGGGAAGAGGAAATTTACTTGGAGGTCACAAGGCTAGCCTACGCACCAGAGCACACCAGAGCTCAAGAATTCCACCCAGGGGATTTTAGGGAATAGGTTTGGGGCCATTGCTCAATTGATCATTTTAAATTAAATTACTAAATACTGACTCCAGATTTGGTTTAGATCAAGTTCGCTGGAATATGCATTTTGCCTTCCGTCCTTTATCTTATTTTATAAAACAACCACCCAACATATTTAGCGAAGAAAAGCTTCAAGAAATTGCCTAAACCCAAGTTGTCAGAATTATCAGGAAGTTGTTTTCAAGAGCAGCTTTGTCCTATAAATATAAATACAGCGAAGCATTAAGTAGAATTCCTTTTTTTGGGGGGGGCAATTGGGGGGATGGGAACAGCGCTGGGGAATTGGGGGAAGGGGAACAGATAAGTTGCTGTCATTTTGTTCTTCAGTCGAGTTGTGGAGGACGTTGCTTCACTGGCCCAAGTTGGCACCATCATTGCGCTCTTCCCGGGCGAGGCAGATCAGTCGATGGCTTCTGGACGGCCGCTCACTGTGGCTGCTGGCCGCTCACGCTGGCCGCTGGCTACACATAGTAGCCCATGGCAACCCACTGCCACAGGGGCTGCAGCCTATGCCGTCGCCGGTGACTCACGGCAGCCCAGCTCCAGGTTGAGCTGTTGTTCAGCATCTTAGCTGTAGAGGGCAGTGTCACTGGCCCTCATATGTGGGATCCAAACCGGGGCCCTCTGGCGTCCCAAGCCAGCTCTTAACCATTGCGCCACTCAGCCGGCCTGATTTTTGAGTTTTAAGAGAGTTCTTTGAGTATTTTGGATAACAGTCCTTTTTCAGGTATGCCTTTTGCAAATATTTTCTCCCTATCTGTGGTTACACATGCAAACCTCATTCTCTTGAAGCATCGGGATTTTAAAAGCTTTGGTTCTAATAGGCCTCTGAGTTTGAGAATCAATGGGTTAAAATATCAAGGGCACCTGAAGGAGATAAGGATAAGGATGGGTTAGGCCATGAGGGAAAAGCCCAGCCACTGACAGGAGGCACAGGCTCTCCAAAGCATGTCCGCAGGCCGCTGTCATCAAGTGCCCCCTTTCCTCCTCAACAGCACCGCTTGAACTGGGTCCTTCCAGACATCTTGTGCCATGGGACAGAGACAGCCTCCCATCTCTGAAGCTTTCTGCCCACTTTGCTGTGGTGACCATGAGATTGACAGTAAGTGGGTGACTCACAGGTCTTTCTAATTTTAATCAATGCAAGTCATGTTTGTTTTTTTTTAAACTTTCAAAAGACTTATAAAGAAAAGCTTCCATCCCCGACCCCAAACTTCTAAGTATTTCTTTCTTTTTCTTTTTTTTTTTTTTTTAAGCTGAGCCATCCTGCCACCTGTTGGCAGTGGCAACTCAGCTTGGGCCAGGACTTGAACTGCTATTGCTCAGAGCTCGCACTTTTGAATGAGCTCTTAACCAACTGAGCCAGTCGGCCAGCCCTAAGTATTTCTTTCTTTAGTTTTGTTGGTTAGTTGCATTATCTCTACATAATATTCTTCACCTGCTTTTTTAGTGTTTTGCTGTTGCTTGTTTTTGTTGTCGTTAAGAATGAGAGAGAGAAATCATTTAAATAGAAAGAACAAATCTGCTTGCCTGCCCATTAAATAATGTGATACCATGTCATGTATTGTTTTTTGTTTTCTTTTTTCATGACTACTTAATACTTCCCTCCCTAGAATGTAAGCATTGTGGTCAGCGTCTTCATTTGATTTTGATAATAATTATCACTTTTTAAAGAGCTTATAGTTACTGTCCTTAACATCAAGTGCCTATATTCATCCTTTAATGTCCTTTCTCTTTCCATCAACTTTCAGCAGTAGCTCTCAACTCAGTATGAGGATATGTTTCTTTTCCTTCTTTTTTCCCATCCACCTCCCCAATGGTTTTTCTACTGAATCTTTTCTTCTACATGTCAAAGTAGATGACATTTACTCTTTGTGACATATTTATCTATAGATAGATTCTAATAGTTGACAACTAACTAGCAAATAGCATTTACTTGATGAATTTGTAAGACAAAACAGAAAAACACCCCCGTCTTCACGAACTCTCATCCCGCCCCTCTTCTCCATTGCAACTCTCAGCAATGCCCCTTCACAACTTGGAGTTTAAGAAGAGGTTGAAGGGTTTAAAAACTGAGGGGTAAACAAAGAGGATGGGGAGGGTAGGGAGGTAGGAACTGCCTGCTTTTATATGCTAGGAGTTGGGGTAGTGGGGAAGGGCTCCCAGTGGTTACACGTGCAAACCTTCCCATAATTCCACAGCTTCAGGCCCCTCCCACCCGCTTGTTGACCTCATCCTGGGGCCTCTCAGGTGTCAGTGAAGCCATGAGCATCTTCAGCTGCTCTCCACCTGCCCCCCACCCTCACCGTGCATTCTGGGCTGAGACTTCCAAATTCTCAAACTTTCAGAATGTGTTGAAGTCCCCTGTCTTCCAGTTGTATCCCATCCTGTTCTCTTCATTGTTAAGGGTTTATATTGACTTAAAGCCCCACCCCCCACTATCATTTTAATGCCATCTAAGTGGAAGGGGAGATGGACTGCTTGGTCCACACCTTAGTACAGCGTCTAAGGTGCCTTCCCCTCTCCCGGCAGCTGCCTCCCAGTAGGACTTGCGTTCAAGAAGATTGCGGGTTTCTGCATTGCAGAGGAGACCTTGCTTCATCTGGGTAGGGGGGAGAAGTGGGAAGGGAAGAGCAGAATATGATAGCGTAAAATAATGTCCACGTTTGGTTGCCCTGGTAACAGCCTCCCTGTGTAAATAACACCTGGGGAGGTTGACGGAGCTGAGGAGATCTGTTGGCAGGGGGCTGATGGGAGAAGGGAAGGTAATCACCAGATTGGAACCACTCAGTGGCTAGGATCAGCTAGATGGCTGGGAACAAAGTCACACCTGTCATTGGTATCCGGAGGGCCCCAAACCTGTTCAGTCATGCAAGCAAAAGACTTGGGAGTTATTTGAGCAGGAAGAACAGATAGCAAGCAGTGCTTTGTGGGGTGGGGCGCTGCTTTAGTTACATTATCCTTCCCCTTCGTGCTCAGAGGGACTCCTTGACCCACTCTTCTCGTTCTCTCAGTATCCCAGGAAATAACCTCTAGAATGTCAATTTACAATTCCCTCAAATAGCCAAGGTGATGCCTAACCTCTTCCAACAAGGACACAGGTTTTCATTCTATGGTTAGAGACAAAGCTTAAATGCAGATCCCCTGGGAGAGGGAACCCGGCGTGTTAGTCACACAGAAGTATAGACAGCTGGGCTCAAATCCTTATATAGGCACCAGCCAGGAAGAGCCGGGTGTTTGAGAAGGCAGTAGATAGGACTCTGCAGAGAAAGAAAAGGAACAGAAAGTGACCTTGGACCCATCCAGATAGATGTTGCTTCTCCAATGTCTACGATTGGCTGTTCCTCCTATCCTCCCACCCACTCTCACCTCACCCCCTATTCCAAACTCCCAAGTGGCTGTTCTGAGGGGATGCTACTATTCAGGGTTGCAGTGGAGAATAAGAGATGGTTTGAGGGTTCTCAGGGAGAACCATCTGGAAAGGGAAGATGGGGCAGCAGGAGACAAGGGTGCTGAATGGGGGTGCCTGGGAAAGTGGGAGAGAGAGAGATGATGATGAAAGGTGGGATATGACAAAACAAAAAAAAACAAAAAAAAGAGCTGGAAGCTGAGGGAGTTTTCTGCAGAACATTTAAAGCTATGGGATTAAAGATTCGGGATGAAGGCCAATGTGCTGTCCAAAATGGCCCTAGAACTTGGCAGAGCACCATGAGCTTTCCAAGTTGGCGGATGATTTTGCTGTGCTGGGTTGCAGGAGGGATGGGCCTGTGAGAACCCACCCAGTATCCTGCTACTATGTGATTATTAAACACTATAGCCATTTGATACTAGCAGCGGGAGCCAGTTATCTTTCTTGAGGTTTTCTACAACGAGCGCATTAATCTGATTGCTACCCCTGGTCACGAAAGGAAATGGAGGCAAGAGAAAGGCAGTCCCTTGTCAAGGGGTACATGGCAAGCGACTGGCAATTGAGTGGTGCCACTTAGCACACCGACTCATCCTGATTCCTGGGGCAGCTCTTAGGGTGAAGTGTCCTGGGACATTGAATTCACTCTGGCAGCCTAATGGTAAGGGCCATGGGGCCTGGAGGCAGCCTGCTGGGGTGTGAAGCCCCACCCCGCCACTTCCCACCTGGGTGTGCTTGGGAAGGTTCCTTCACCAACAGGTGCATCAGTTTCCCCATTTGTAACATGGAGGCAATACTGCTATGTTCCTAGGAATATCATTGTGAAGTTAAAAAGTACGTTGTTACCTGTTGTTATTATTCAGTGTGAGAAGGTGAAGAACATCTAGGTGGTAATTATTTCAGCAGTCTTTTGTGTGACATTTTTATTTTTCATACTGCCTTCATGCCTATTGTTTTTGACTGTCACAAAAACCCTGTGGGATGACTATGGAAAGCGTTAATATTCTGGTGAACAGATGTAGGCACTGAGGCTCAAGGTCATATAATCTATTAGTGGCAAAGGTCAGACTTGAACCCAGAGTGTTTTCATAAGCCAAAGGTTCTCCACTCCACGGCACCTTAGAATCACCGTCTCCTGGAGACCCCAGCGGAAGCCCAGGTGGTCCCTGAAGCCTCACTCCATGAAGGCTGCCTCCTCCCAGCAGTCTCCAGCAAATTACAGGAGGCTCCTCATAAAAAAATTCATGGGAGCACTACAAGGGTCATTTACCCTTGGCTATTTTCTAGTGATTGGGGTCGCTTTGTTCTGCTCTGCACCTGTGTGTGTCCTTGATACCTGGGAGCACACCTGGCCAGTCAGAGTTGAAGGGTCCCACCAGGAGCATGGAGTGGAGTAGGGTGGGCTCAGCTCAGACCACCCGAGCATAGACAAGGCAGAACCTTGGCCTGTGGGTTTGTGCAAGAACTGTCAGAGGACCTGCAGCGGGCCGCCCTCCGCAGGCTGCCCGGCATCTTCAGACCAGGCAGCACTTGGGAGGCGGCCCTCCTGCAGGGAACGATAGGTGCTCCCAACCCCTCCAGCCTCATTTTCCTATGTGACACCTATCACCCAGCAGGTCCATCCCACTCACCATCTTTGTTCTTCCATCATCAGACTTCTCAAGGCTCTCATGGTTCTGGTCCCCCACCCAGAGTGCTCCCCTTCTCCCCACCCCACCTCCTGGCTAGCCTCTACTCACTGTTCATGCCTTAACTTAAATGTCGCTTCTTCAAGGGAATCTGCCGCTTTTCCCCAAAGTAATTGTCTCCTTGTCACCCCCGCTTGTAGCATCCTGTACTTTGCCATCAAAAGCTTATCATTATTGTCATCATACATAGGCACAGTTTGTGTCATTGTTTGGGTCATGTCTGCCCCTTCACCCCTGACTGTAAGTTGCATGGGGCCAGGGGTTGTGTCTGCTTTATTTGTCCCCAAGTCCCCATGGCCTGGCACCTTAACAACGCCTAGTAAATATTACATGAAAGCATTAAATATTAAATAATATGCAAGTGCTTTGGACAGTGGAAAGTTGCTTTGCAAATGTGTTTTCATTTTAATTTTATTGCTATCCATGGGGCTACCAAATAATAAAAGAACTGTCTACGGCAGCTGAGGCTTTCGGAAGAATTAGCAACACGGGTCATACACAGAAGTCTCAGCTATCCGATATCTTACAGTTCCTGAAAGAAGGAAGTCGACGAGTGAACCTGAGGCGGTGGCTTGTATGCAGTCTAGGTACACAACCCGGATTAAGCATTCTGAGATTTTCAGTGTGATGATCTGAAAACCAGGAGAAAGGAACAAAAGAATGAACCCCTGAGGACATGGCATGCAGTCACTCTCTGGGTTTATTTTTGCTTAGGCTGGTCTGTTTTAACCATGTTGACGATACCCTGCCTTCAGTGTGTGCTTAAGAAAGCATATAGTTACCAGGATTCTACCAGAAAAATCCCATCTCTGATCCCAGTTTCTTTCAGTTCTGCTGGATTCTCTCCAACACTCCTACTAAATCAATTGTTTCCACACCTCCTCTCAGCCCCCACCTGACCTCACCATCACCCACACCTTTGCCACAATTCCTGGCCGCTGTCCCACTGCAGTCTGTAAGCCCAGCCTGGTCTTCAGTGCTCACCCATGCAGCCGTCCCCTTGTGTCA